TTCCTTCCCCTGGACTTGCCCAGCTGGCTGCGATCTCCAGGCCAGCGTCCCCTCGGCAGGCAGTCTCTGGGTTGCACCGATTCGCCTCCGCCTTCCTTCCGGCCTCTCCTGGAGTCCCTGGCAACCACTGAGGGAGAGCTCCCTTCTCCAGTCCTTCTCCTTCGGCTGCCTCCCCTGACTGAGTCCTGGCCCAGGTTTTTATAGCCCTGCTGCAGCCCGGGCATGCTCGGTAGGGCTGTGAGGGAGGGGCCTCTGCAGCCAGGTAACCCTGGCTGGGCCCTGTAGGTTCAGTGCGGGGCTGCCTCGCCCCGTCACACCCCTTCATGACAATTCCTCCAACCTCCCTACCCTCTCCCTTCCTCGCCAGGGACCTCTTTCACGAGACTCTGCTTCACCAGGAGGTTTTACACCTTCTCAAAAATAGGAGCCATAGAGCAGGTCCCCAAAAAATACAAAGGGAGGGGGTTTTATTACAACCAATTTCTCACCAAAAAGAGAACAGGAGGATGTAGACCTATCTTGGACCTGTGCCAAGTAAATACCTTGGCAGGCAACGCTTCAAAATGGTCATGCTCACCACAATAATTCCAGCACTGGACGGGGGGAGGGGGAGAAAACTGGTTTGCAGCCCTCGACCTTCAAGAAGCATATTTTCACATCACAATGCACCATGCCCACAGGCGCTTTCTATGATTCACAGTAGTCTCCAACCACTTTGAATACAGAGTACTCCCGTTCAGACTCTCCTCCGCCTCCAGAGTCTTTTCCAAGACTCTCGTGGTGGCAATGGCACATCTAAGACCAATGGGATCACAATATTCCCCTAGCTAGATGACTGTCTTATCCGAGGTCCCTCACAACTAAGACATGATCACATTCATGAAGACCATGTTTCAGTCACTGGGCTTCATTATCAATGAGCAGAAAACCATATGATGTCCCACACAATCTTTGGAGTTCATAGAGGCTCATATAGACTCTACAACAGCTCGAGCCTATCTCCTCAATCACCGATTCGACAATATAAGAAATCTCGTTATGACCATTACCACTAACCCCATGATACCCATCATAATGTGCCTCAAATTTATGGGGCACATGGCAGCTATCACATATGTTGTCCCGCATGCCTGGCTGTACTTCCATAGTTTCCAACACTGGACCTCTTCAGTGTACACACCAACCAGCTATCAGATCCACAGGCATGTTTCCCCTCCACCAAAAGT